CAGGGAGCAGAGGTCAATGCTGTTGATCACGTTGGATGCTCTGCTCTGATGGTTGCTGCTGACCGTGGACAGAACATGGCTGTTGGTATGTGACAGGAGAGCCTGATTTAAAATGTTAAAGTTCGCAAGTTTTGATTTTCATTTAACGCATCAAGACAACATACAGCTCTTTTATTAATCTCTCCTCGATTTGCTCCTGCTTGTTTTTCATCATGTCTGAACATTTTCATTGCACAGTCATACTTGCAGGAATATGTGCAGCCCCCTTTAACACATACTCACTGTGTTTGTGACCCTCACAGGCCTCACTGATGTTTTCCTTTAGTGTACCACATGAATATTTTTTCCTGTCACTCCACGTAAAATATCCAGTGAATGCTTCAAACATGAAGTCCTGTTTTTGTTGTGAAAGACTTGTCTTATTTTTTGCATTTCAGAATTCTTGCTGCAGCACGCAAAGCCAGACCTGACCCTGGTGGATGTCAATAATAACACAGCTCTTCACTTAGCCTGCAGCAAGGTCACACACACATACACATGCATGTACTCTATGCATGCAGAGGCACAGTAACTTTTGAATATGTGGGGAATACCTGTCAAAATATAGTGAAAGCTCTGTTGAAAATTAGGTTAAAATGTCATCAAACCTGTTTTGACAAGTAATAATAAAACATTATTTGTGTTGCACTTTTCAAAACAGTTCAATAACTTAAAAAACCCATCAGCGTGTCATACTAACTTCTAAATTACTTTTAATTTCACATTAACTAATTAAAACCTGCATTCACTCACAACATTGGGAATTTTATAATGTGATGCTTTAACAATGCACAATGTGCATTTCAAAAAGTGAATTTAAAAGTATTTGGGGACATTTTAACAAATGACTGCATTCATAGATAGTTTGTACTGTTCTGCCGAAGCACATTATCACTTATTTCAGTGTGTTTGATTTTGCAGGGTCATGAGATGTGCGCTCTGTTGATCCTTGGAGAGATCAGTGACTCCTCCCTCATAAATGCAACAAACGGTGCTCTGCAGATGTGAGTTGTCTTGAACCAGTGGCCACTTAAATTGATTTCCGTCAGTTAAGAAGACATAACTATGGAACATACAGGGTGTGGATACTGAAGTTTGGTGTTAAGACGCACACATTATGTCTTCATGGCTCTCATTAGTTAGTAGTGTATGAAAATATTCAAATGTAGTCCATCAGTTTTGTGCAGGTTCACATAAGATTTTCCATTAAACTATAACTTAAAATATTTTCTCTAATCTTAATTTTTTAACTTTTGAATTTTAACTCTTTTCCAAGTTGACAGTATTGACTTATGTGCCTTTGCCGCCTGTAATTCTACATGTGAATTATTTAATATGGTTACATTCCTATAATCAAACCTGTGTGTGTTTCTCATGTAGGCCTCTTCACATTGCAGCAAGGAAAGGCCTGGCGACTGTAGTGCAGGTGTTACTGAGCAGAGGTGCCGCAGTCATGGCTGTAGATGAGGAAGGTAAATAGGAATAATTACTTTATATTCCAGCGCTACAACACCACACTGTCCCTTTTCCCTGCCAAACAACTCACTGACAATCACTGATATTCATTTTCCTGTTGATCCTCTGCAGGCCACACTCCAGCTCTGGCCTGTGCCCCGAACAAAAATGTAGCAGACTGTCTGGCCCTGATCCTCTCCACCATGAAGCCTTTCCCTCCCAGAGAGGCTGGCGGTGGGGCAGCCTCCCACTTCAACCCCATCCTGAAGAATTGTGGGATTGCTGCCACATGCGGGTCCAGTGGAAACCTTTGTCACGCTTAAGTTGCCCTGAGTGAAATCTCATCCTTGTGAAGCCCAAAGTCTCCAAACGTAACTACGCACATACAAGTCTCCATGAACATGTGCGGTCAAGCATAGCTTCTTCTTGCATATGTCATGACATTTATACTTGTGTGTCACATGCAGCTGCACATACACAATGTGCTCATGCGCTAGTAGCATAGTCTTAAACATTTTATTAACATTAGCAGATAGATGATCTTGATTTGAGTTTAGCACATGATGAAGTGAATGAAGCACTAACATTAGAAAAGAATGGAAGTTTTAACATGAGCACACCACACAGGCCTCTCTACCTGAACCACAGCCACTGTCAGTATTAGCCTCAGTTCTTAGCTCATTAATCACCAAAGCCTGAAGCCTACAAATTCGTCCAGAGCTGATACAAGTGCAGATGACTATGTTTTATTTGTGTGTGTGGGTCTGTCTGTCTGTCAGTCAGTCTGTAAGTTCTATTTTGCATATTACACATTGCTTCTTAATATACATGTTTTTAAATATCTAACAGGTGCTATAAACCTTTTATGCAATTATTAAGACTCTATTTTCTTATTCTGTCCAGACTGTAGCAGACACTAGATTGATATAAATAACGTATTATTCTAATATTGCCATGAATTACATTTCAATTTAGTAAGTTACAAATTTTTTTAATAATATAGTTTACTGAGTTAAGTGTATCTATTTTTAGTTCTTGAAATGAAGTTAAACATTTACATGTATAATCTTGAAAATCCCAAATTATTGAGAATGAACCTCAGGTCAGTGTGTACTGTACAGTGCAATAAAAAGCACATCTGAAACCGGATGTTGCACAACAAGAATAAAGCGGGACAGAAGTATTTAAATATGTTTCAGTTAAATAAGCCAGAGAATCAATATAATATTTCAGGCTTTGAACAATAAAGTTGTGTCTTCAGTAAACCTGACATTTCACTACATCTTTTTCGTAAAGATAACTTTAATTTCAGTGATATCTTCCAACTGTTGTTTCTGATTTGCCCTGAAACCCAGGGACATAAAATTTCCACAGAGAAACAGAGAATCCTTCATACTTGAGATACGAGAACTAACGAATGTTCGCATTTTTACTCAAAGAATTTTTCGCTTATCAAATTTGTTGAAAATCAAATAGATGTTTAACGACTAATCAATTGTTTCAGCACTACACTCAAAGTCAGTTTTCTGTACGATTAAATACATTTGAAGAAACTGTTCAAATAAGCTGCTTTGTAATTGTGATTTTTTTGGGGGGGGGTAGATGGGGTTAGTTTCACTGTAAAGAAAATCTCCTGTAGCAACATGTACTTCATCCAAAGCAACCAGAAGATCAGTGTCCAGCATTAATGGACACTGAATAAATATTTTATTGGCTTTTACAATTGTCAGAGTTTGATTTATTTTTTAATTAATTGTTTTTCTCTTGCTTCCTACTATAATCTGGCACAATACACCTTTACTGGTACAAATATGTCACTGCCTCTGTCTGTAAAGCTCAAGGTTTTATGAATTGATTTGTGAATTAATGTTTACCTTTTTTAATTTGCACTCTGACATAAAAGTTTACATTTTACAGTGAGATATCATCATCTTTACATTTATGCAAATATTCTATCATATTTGAAAGTGCATTTAAAAAAAATTAGAGCACTATCCTGTGAGCATCTCTCCTTTGTCTTTCATTTGGATCTAAATCCTGGGGAGGAAATGGTTTTACAACTTAAAGGTACAGTGTGTAGAATTGAGTGACATCTAGTGGTGAGATTGCCTGTTGTAGCTAAACACCCATCACCTCACCCTCTCCTTCCAAACATGACATGACTCAAAGGGTGTTTAGTTTGTCCAGTCTGGACTAATGTAAAAAACAATAGCGGCCTCCGTAGAGAGGACCCCCTCAATGAAAATATAAATTATTCAAATATAAAGGGCCCATTCTAGGGTAAAGAAAACAACAATTCATAAAATTTTGATGAAACACACTAGTGGAAACATCACTAGGATTATTTTATATTCAATTTCTGCCAATAGATCCCTTTCCACTAAATCTTACACACTGAACCTTTAAGGTTGTAGTTAAATGTTTAGAATCATGTTCGTCTTGAAGAATTTCTCTGTTTCAGCTTTTCACGTGAACAAATTGTTTGTCTTCCCTTCCGTCTTTCTGACATTTCAGACGCAACAACTTGAAAACAAAGTGTGGTAAGGTTGTGGATGGCTTTCAGAGATAATAAATAAACTTGCTCCCATGTGTGTGTTCATTTTTCTTTCCTTTTCTCATCTCTGGAAGTGCTAGTTGTTTCTCTCAGATCAGTCTTTGTTTTTCTTATGGTAGCTCTAATGTATAGAAGCATGTTGCTGCCACACTGGACAAAGAAAACAACGGATCAGTATCATGTTAAAATGTGATAACTTGATGTTAAAACATAAAGACTAACCATGAAAGTTAAGTTACAATGTGATGGGCTTTATGTGAAATGTCCAATTTTTTATACACACCTGAAAATAATGTAGCCTACCCAAAATTAAAAAGGTGACTGTTCTTCAATCCCTTTTGATCACAGTTGTAACGCTGTCCTCCTTTTAGAGATAAGACTTTCAATTTTACACACAGGCAGTCAAAATAAGTAGAAGAGGCACTGAAAAAAGGAGATATAGTGAAGAAATTGTCTAAGAAGAAAGGTACAAAAAAGGTGGAGATCAAGTTCAAATGGAGTAAAAAAAGAAGATAAGGAAAATGAGAACGGAAGAAAGGAAACAATAGGTTGAGGAATGGTGGAGGTAAAAAATAAAGAGAAAGAAGGAAGACATGGATATAAGCTACAGATTGTCTCTACAACCCTTAATTTATTTTGTTGACTTTTGACCAATTCGATCCAGATAGATAGATAGATATTTTATTGATCCCGAAGGAAATTCAAGATTCATCTAAAATCATCTGGAAGTTTTCATGAAATCCATCATTATTGTATTATACAGCACATATAGCCTGCTTTATTCTATTTATTTATTTCGTCTCATTAAAGACATTTTTCTATGACTATTGTTAAGATTTAAATATCATGCAGCTCTCCTTTCTGGTCTTCGTGTAGTACTGCCTGCTCACTGATAGAGGTCACTGTGGGCCGCGCGTTACTGACAGCCTCTATAAATTCAAGTGTAGAAGAACAGTTTGCTCCTCTCCCGGTCGCCGGTCCGGTTTCCACAGAGAAGTGCAGCGGTCCGTCCACTTTCACCGTGTCCGTGCCCGTCACACCGCCTCTCCCTGTGGCAGGTCACAAACATGGCGAACGTGGTGCTGGAGTTCAAGGCTTCGGCCGGAGACTCGGAGCCGCAGAGCCGCCCGGTCCTCATCGTCGGGCAGCAGAACAACCTGCAGCAGATCAACTGGAGCCAACTGAAGGGGAAGCTCCAGCCGGTCGTTAGCAAAGAGGTAACGCGTTGACTCACGCTGGGAAGTGACAGCTAGCAGGGGCTAACGCTGCTAGGTTAGCTAAATGAATGTAATGCTAACGTCATTGTGTACGAGTAGCTCATTCTAACTAGCATCACGACTAGCTAACCGGTTAGGTTACTCGTTAGCTAGAACAACACGGCAGCTAACTGCGTTGTTAGAGGACGATTTGTTCTTATTAATCGGTGGAAATTTGAGTACAACGAAAATAACGTTGAATGAAGCCACATGTACAGTGTATGAGCTTTAAGTGATTTATCATCGTAACACCTAATTGACACAGTTGACTATATTTGACCGGAACAACGATTTTAAAGGGTTTTTTTCTCTAACTTTGTCAAAAAACAGCAAACAATAAAAACAGACAGCCACCATGATCGCTATAGTGATGAAGAGTCTGCAGCCTGGCTTCGTGTACAGGGTACATTGTGTTCTTGATGCACAGTGACAGCTCTACAGTGGCCCGACCCAGACATAAATACTCTGATCTCCCTTTTGTTTCTCATGGGGCTGTGAGTGAGTCGTGCAAAGTCCTCAGAAGTGGTTGTGTAACATGCAGTCTATAAAGAGAGACTGGTGAGGTCAAGGATTGGATCAGTCAGTGTCAGAGCTGCTCAGGATCCTCTGACAATGATTGTCCAACACGATCATCCCTCTGCTGCCTACAGTGCCCTGATCTTGTGGTGATCACTGAGTTTTATCATACTGAAGCTGGGTGAATGTGGGAGGCCTGTCATTTAGAAGAAGATTTACAAAACTCCTGTCATCTCTAATTTTACATATTGTTGGCTTTCCACATGGTTTTCTTGTGTTCAGACACACACAAACACAAATACCCCACTGCTTTTTTTCATCCAAATCTGCAGGAATCCTGTATTAATCAGAAAAACAGAGTTGACCCTCGGTGGAAAATTCCATTTAATTGTCACTCCAGCCATGAATAGGGTATGAAAAAACTGCAATAGGATGTATAAAAAGGAAGCTGAATAAGAATATACATATGAAAATACATTATATACAAAAATGTATATTCAACAGAAGGTAACTCTCACATAAATGAAGATATAATGTGCTGACAGGCTGATGTGCCACAAGCAGGAATGACTTCCTGTGATGCTTTTTGGTGCATCTCTGTGGAACAAGTCTTCTACTGAATGGACGCCTGTGCTTAGCCATCACATCATGGGGTTGGTGGGACACATTGTCCAAGATAGTCACTTGGTAACTTGGACAGCATCCTCCGTTCTGACAGTCAGAGTCCAGCTCCACCCCACAACATCACAAAAATCTCACATGTGATGGTGACTCCATCGTAAACTTTGTCCAGGATGACGGGCAGTGAAGTAGTTGTAGTCTAATTGGCCTCTCCTCAACATAAGATCATATACAATCAATTCTTGCACTTCAGGAAGTTAGAGATATCGATGAGGGCAACAGATCCCACACTCAGACTCTGCTCTTTGGATGGTAATGGTGTCAATACAGTGAGTGCAAGTGATTCACATTGTGCAGGATTTTATGATATATATAGATATAGATCTATATATATATATCCCTCCTTCCTTTTCCCTTCAGGATTTTAATGCGAGCACAAAAAATTACACTAAGCTGTCGTGTCTCTATAATCAACCTAACATGTCAGTTCTGTCATGTTTTCTCAGATCTGGCAGGCAGCTCTCAATGCTTTGAACCCAAACCCAACAGACAGCTGCCCCCTGTACCTTAACCATGCTGCGGTGGCTGCCCTCCCTTCGCGGGTCAGCAGACATAACAGCCCATCTTCTGCCTACTTTCTGTCCCGTCTGGTCCGTTCCTGCATGCCTGGAGGGAACACTCGCTGCATCGTGGTTAGTATCTTCATTTAAATGTTATTTGTTCTGCCCTGTCATCTAATAGTTAATTGATCTTTGCTGGGGGAGATTTCTCTCTTTCTGTTTCAACACTGGGTCGTCCAGTGGAACGACAGTTTTGTGACTGAGTGGCTGATATGATTCTTTCCTCTCCAGATGGTTTGCGAGCGTTCAGATGTGTTTGCATCTTCTTGTGCCATCGCTCGGGCCTTCCCCATCTTCTCTCGTCGCTCCTCATCCTCACGCAGGGCTGAGAAAAAGCATGTCACTGTGGAGTTTGTGATTGTTGGACAAGAGAGCAGTCCCCTGGGTGTCGCAGAACTTGAGGTAATGCCCCAATTGTTTTTTGTTTTTTTGGGGGGTCATTTTCTAATTAAATTTGCAAAGCATTTCAGACCCAAACATTCTACTGTATCCTATATCCTAAGACTCTTCTTATGTTTAGTGTCTCTCCAATGCTGCTGATGGAGTGCGCCTGGCAGCTCGCATTGTGGACGCACCATGCAATGAGATGAATACAGATCACTTCTTGGATGTAAGTGAAAGAATTTCTGTTTTGTTAACTTAACTACAGGAATATAATATTTTATTGTATTTTACCCTGGACCTCTGTTACATATATTAATTACTGTTTTAGGAAATAAAGGCTGTGGGAACTGAACTTGGAATCACTCCAGTTATCATCCGTGGAGAGGAATTGAAACTAAAAGGGTTCGGAGGTATGTGTGTGTCTCTTCATGTCTGTAATGTGCTTATATCTTGACAGCTCAACTGTTATAGAAGCCTGTTTACACTATTTTGCTGAGAAAATATCGTGTACATCTTATTTTAAATAATCAATAATAAGTGTTGTTTAAGATTTTATCAGTATTTAGTCATTATTTTTACATACTAAGTCATTTTGACATGCATCTGTGCTCATATAAGATTTGTTATTATTTGTGTGATTATTGGTAGTTCAGATTATTTATGTGTTTATTTTCCTTTTACACTGTCAGGTATCTATGGAGTTGGAAAGGCAGCGGAGCATCCTCCTGCATTAGCAGTCCTGAGCCACACACCAGATGGTGCGACCCAGACCATTGCATGGGTGGGGAAGGGCATCGTGTATGACACCGGTGGACTCAGCATCAAGGGAAAGGTACTCCTAGTTTTCCCCTGGAGATGTGATAGTATCTGTTGTACATCATGAAAAAAAATCTAGTTCAATTGTTTAAACATAAATATCTCAAGAGCTGTTTTCACCATCTGCTGGAAGAGTATCTTACCATAGCAGTTATAAAAATCTGTTTTGACTGTAGATATGTGATAATTCTTTGTGATTTCTCAATTTAAATATGACATCTATGGAGCAGGAGAATCTTATCCACCTCTAACACCTTGCTGCAGATGAGCAGCCTTTTCTTTGTGTGCAGATGAGCCCAAAAAAAACTTTACATGCATACGACCAATGTATGATTGAGGGTTTCGCATGTCTTGGTTCCCGCTCTCGCACCTGACTGCTTGCTGCATTTATTCACAAGAATTAATTTGATCAAATTGTAAACTTTATTTTTCCAGATGGTAGAGTGTTGTAACACACTGTGATCTCAGTGATCCTATCACCTGATTGACACCCCTGACCCTCAAGTTTTAAGCAGATTCTCAATAATCCCTTTACATGTAGTTGCAGTTGAGGGCACCAGTTTACAGTAGTGACATATGCAAGTATAAAAATTAGCTCTTATTCTTCAGTTACATGGTGCAGCAACATCAGATATCTAATTCATTGCATGTTCCATCAGATTGAATATGTTTTCCTTGTTTGTAGACCACAATGCCAGGAATGAAGAGAGACTGTGGTGGAGCTGCTGCTATTTTAGGAGCTTTTAGAGCTACTATTAAACAGGTGAGGTGACATTTTTTTCTGATTATTCCAAAGCTGTCCTCTATAATACTCTATAATGTTTTTTTTGTTGTTTAATCCCCCTTCTTTTTGCTGCAGGGCTTTAAGGATAACCTCCATGCAGTGTTTTGCCTTGCAGAGAACTCAGTTGGCCCCACAGCCACACGACCTGATGATATCCACACTCTCTACTCTGGAAAGTGAGGCCTGACTTCTTTTATCGTTTCATCTCCTTGGAGTTTCATTTGATTTCTAAAGTGTCCATTTTATGATTTGATTTGCTCTGTGTTACCTCTCCTATCATGGTGTGATTGCACTCTGTGTCTTTTTACAAGTCAAATCAACAGGAATGAACTCAAACAATGTTTAACTGTCATTCATCTGTTTCATCCACAAGGACAGTGGAGATCAACAACACTGATGCAGAGGGCAGGCTGGTGCTGGCTGATGGGGTGGTGTATGCCAGCAAAGACCTGTCAGCTGATATTATTCTGGATATGGCTACTCTGACGGGGGCACAGGTCAGTGACCACCGCAGTGACTGATGTTAAACCTTCCATAGCAACTATGTACTGGAGGATCTTAAACTTCTACAATAAAAGATGAGATGATAAACTTATTTTTCAGCAACACTGCCCCTGAATAGAGCAGAGCCAACAATGAACTTAGCCTTCAGACAGGTTTTGTCTTTGTTTCCTTAACCTTTTTGTTGTTGTTGTTCAGGGGATCTCCACAGGTAAGCACCATGCAGCTGTGATGACAAACAGCGAGCAATGGGAGGTTGCGTGTGTGCGTGCAGGACGCAGCAGCGGAGATCTCGCTCACCCTCTGGTTTACTGCCCCGAGCTGCACTTCAGCGAGTTCACCTCTGCCATGGCTGACATGAAGAACTCAGTGGCAGTAAGTGACCAATCCATCATCCACCCAGAAGACATGAGAAAACACATGGATATCTTGCATTGCATAGTTTAAGAGACATAATAATTATAGCTTTTCTTGACGCATGTTTTTTTCTGATTCTAAGATCAAAACTAATTGATTCATATCAAGTAGTATTTATTTGTCTGGGATGTTTTAATGTGATGTTATTTAAGTTTTTTGTTTTTTTTAATGAAGTTGCTGAGGTTTGTTGTTTTTTTGTGTTTTGACAGGATCGTGAGAACGCACAGAGTTCCTGTGCCGGCCTCTTTATTGGCTCCCACTTGGGCTTTGATTGGTCCGGCGTCTGGGTCCATGTTGACATCGCCTCTCCTGTTCACGCTGTGAGTACCTGAAGTTCTGATGTGCTAATCATAAGTGATGATCATAACTCTGTGCAGTAGCCCATTATTAGGTGTGGGCATCGGACACAAAAGGCACATGTCATTACAAATCACACAAACTGTTATACGAGTTGTGCAACTCTTGTGTCAGAAATAAATCTTGCTCTGACCATGTCTTCCTGTAGCTGCTGACTTTCTGCACTGTGCAGCCATGACTTTACAAGAAAAAGACATGGACCTCTACATGTTGAATTGTTATTCAAGAAATGCAAAATGTTATATAACCTTTCTCAAATAGTAATGTAGACTTCTCAATGTCTGTATACAGTGTAGCTGTGGTTTTGAGGTTAGCAGTAACTACCACCAGAGACTCAGGAGCCTGAAAGAAGCAAGTCAGCAGAATGTTTAAGAAAGTTGCAATGGACGGTTTATGAATCATGACTTATGCATCATCACTGACTGGTAAAGAGAACAGTTTTGCATCGAAAACAGTTAAAGCATGGAAAGTGATGTATATGCTTTTTGATTATGTAATGATCAGTGTTGATATTATGGCAGTGGTTACGAACAAATCGAGAAGAGGAAAAATACGTTTGATTCGTAGTGACACTGTAGAGGCTCAGAGGACGTCAGCTGAGGAGGAGGACCTTCATATGTGGCCCAGGACAGATTTGCATTCACACTACTAAAAGAATGTGGACACATGTGGCCAAGACCACCTCTGAGTGCGTTCACACCTGTACTTAGAGCTGTCCGCTTGTGATATGATCACAAAAACCACATGTTAATACTAGGTGTGTACAGGCCTATATTGTCAATAGGTCAGTTGTACACACTGTCCTATCTTTAGGCCTTGTAAAGACCAAGTAACTTGATGAACAGAATGTTTGTGCTGCATATGGTTTTCAGGTTGTACAGGGAGAGGTTGAGCCTGGTCTATCTGTAGAAACACAGACGTCCTCTTAAGAAGTTGTTCTCTGCTGACACTCACTTTGTCCATTATGAACCCAGATGTACTCCAGGGTGCTGCGTTTGAAGGAAGTGTGACAAGATATCTACGTCGACATTATGTATACTTCAAATGCAACAGCTTTCTATAACTTCTGTGCATGTGTGCCACTGTTGTACCACTCTTCATTTCAAAAAGTCTGATGCTCTGGTCTTGTGATTCAGCTTATAAAAAATATGGCTCATCACTTTTACTGCTTTACAACCCCAGAGTGTATCTTTAACTCCGTCTTTTCTCAAACAAGGATGTAATAGTGGACTAAACTGTAGATACATTTATCAGCATCATCGGGTTTCACAACTTTACATTAACTGGTAATTACAGGGTAGCTTTACAGTAATGATACTGGATATTGTGATCTGATCCTCGTTTTTGTTTTATTTTGTCTGTGCAGGGGGAGCGTGCCACAGGATTCGGCGTCGCTCTGCTCATGGCCCTCTTCGGTCAGGCATCAGATGACTCCATACTGAACCACATCTCTCCTCTGGGCGCAGCCACCAACATGTCTGAAGACCCGATGGAGCGTGACTGCAAAAGACGAAGACTGGTGTAGAACACACCAAACGGTTCACTCCCTGAAACCCAAATGTTCGAATCAAATGCTCCTCCAGTTACAGAAAATAAACATTTAAAACTGATTCAAATGTGTTTGATTAAATTTGGCTGAATGAAACGGATAATCATCAATAAATCAGATGTGTCATACATGATAAGAAAACACAGTCCATCATACTCCTTGATGCTGCTCTTTTCTGCACTGAACGCCTCCACAGCTTCTCCATTTTTCAGTTGCTTTGAGGAAGATGCATTGATTCTCATGTGATCTGAAAAAAGTAGGTAGTTTACATTTATGACTGATTCATTCTGATGACTGGCAATTTATTTTTTTCTGTCATTCTTGTTTAACAGTTAATGATTTTACCACCTCAAACAACTTTTGTTTTCAAATATCCACCTCATCAGCAGGTATCGCTGTCAGTTGACACTATATGCAAATTTAGGGTTATGCCATTTACTTTGTCTAAGACATTGTGAAAAATACTGTTTCCTGGTCAGTAAAGCTGGAAATTTCTGTTTTTTGTTAAACACAGCACTTTGTAATTTCCCTGCGAACAGTTGAGTGATCTCTGGACCAAAATGAAGGATTGAGTGCTTACTGCAGTTTTTAACAGTTTAACAGTTGTGCCAGATTAGTCATTTACCCTGAATGCTTCGTCAGCACAAAAAACACATACAAGATGTCAACCAAGTATTTTACAGATTCCAGCGGAAATGTGATTTTCTTTTTTCCACCCTTGTCAATAAAGGAAGTGCCATCTGACTTGTGTCAGAGTGTTTAATGTAAAATACCTTCAAACTTAAACAGAAACTTCTCTTTACACTAAGAAATCTTGTTAAATCTTCCTGAAGAAAAACACATTTTGTCCAATTTTGAGTTTTAAGATCTAGAATTAATGTCACACTTACACTCACACTAAAATGACAATTGCATGTCATTCACATATCAAACTATGGATGTTCCTTTACCTAAACTATTACTCACAAATTTCACTCTATAGGTCTTGGGTGCTTAAGTCATGTAACATGATAGTTCATTCAAAAGCACTAGCTCTACTTTGAGACCTTAAATAATGCAGTGATACTGAGACTTTGAGGCTCATTCACAGTGATGAAATTGTCACCAGTAAAATCAGATAAACAAGTGTGTATTTTATTAGAATCACTATAATGAAGGGATTTAGATTGTGTTTGTTTTCTGGTCCACACTCCGGAGCAGCAGGTGGCGGTAGTGCAGCTATAAGCTGGATGCCACCGGCCCTAAATCAAAAAGAACAAGGTAGATAATAAGCGGAGGCAGCAGCGGTAGTTCTCTACAGTGTAGTTGAGTCTGTCTCCTCCTCCGGCTTCTCCCTGCAGCTCCCTGCACCTCCCTGCTGTCTGACGCCGCTTCACTGACTCCTCCAGCCGCCGCTCGGTTCCGATGGCCCGCAGAGCCGCCGTAGTTGTGCTGGTGTCCGCGGTGGTGTCCGCTGTGTCCGCCGGGGTGTTCTTCAGCCAGAAGCAGCCCTGCTTCGTCCGCTCAGCCAGGAGACAGGACTTCGGACTCAGGTCAGTTCAAACTCAGAGACACTTGAAGTAACAGATCGTGGTGAGTTGTGTCATCCAGGTTAATGTGGTTAATGTCCTGCAGCCAAGTTTCCTCCGAACTGTGAAGACTTTAAGAAAACAATTATGAGCAACAGCTAACTCCAACCTCAAGGAGGACTAGCGATACGTCCCCTGTGCTGTTTAAAAACAGTGTTTCATTATATTAGCAGTGGTAGATCAATAATCCGTGTGGTCAGAGATTAGAGATTGTTTCTAGAGGTTCCGTTCTTTACTCTGCACCAGTCACGAGGTTTGGTTGATCACACGTTGAGGACGTGAACTCCCAGAAATGTGACGAAAGACCTGACTTGAGTCTTCTGTTTGTCTCTTAGTGTGTCCCATCACAGTCTTGATCAGAGACGTGAGTGTGTTTTACAGTTCAACTAAACTTTTCAAGGTTGTATATGGACGCTGGAAAGTTTTTTTTTTTCCAAGAAAGGTGATGAAACAGAAGAGTGAGAGATCTTAACCTACTGTAGCTGAGAACACAAAGTGTGATTTGTCCTAATGAAATCAAATACAGACTTCACAAGATCAGATCGCTTCGCAGTTGGATGTTTTCAGTGTGGGTTAATCTGTCTGTGATTTTCTTAAAGTCATGTGATTAAAGATAAGATAAGAAGTCCTTTATTAGTCCCACAATGGGAACATGAGCATAATCATTTTTGCAGAATTAAATGACCATCAGAGCTCAGGTCCATCTTCCAAACCTTCGACCAATAAAGACATTCATTTTCCAATGATCTAAAACAGAGAAATAGAGCTGATGATCTTGATTGCAAACTTAGAAGCTGCAGCATATTCAGCAGTTATCACTTATTAACGATATGAATGAGTAATAAACGTGTCTAATGACCTGTCTCTCCACAGGACCTCTCCTCAACCTCATGAGTATTTAAACGTTTCCGATCTGCCCAAGTCGTGGGACTGGAGGAACATCAATGGTGTAAACTATGCCAGCACGACCCGCAACCAGCACATTCCCCAGTACTGTGGCTCCTGCTGGGCTCATGGCAGCACCAGTGCCATGGCAGGTATGATTCATGACAAATTGCCCTCTGGAGACTCAGTGTGTATTAACAGCTCCTCACATGAATTCTCTCAAATATTTGAATATAGTCATCAACGTTCAACTTCCTTGCAGAGAAGGAACTTAACAGAAACAGGTAGTCATGTTTTTTCCTTTCTCATTTGAAGTTCTGTGATTTCTCTCTGTCCAGACCGCATCAACATTAAGCGGAAAGCAGCGTGGCCGTCTGCCTACCTCTCTGTCCAGCATGTGATCGACTGCGGTGATGCCGGCTCTTGCCACGGGGGCGATCACTCCGGTGTTTGGGAATACGCGAGCAAACACGGGATCCCAGACGAGACCTGCAATAATTACCAGGCTATAGACCAGAGTGAGTGTCCTGCAAAAAACAAAGAAGTGATTACATACGATCACGAAGACTGTGAGTCTGAGCTCTGCGTGCTGTCTGTCCCCCTCTATAGAATGTAAGCCCTTCAATGAATGTGGCACGTGCACCACCTTTGATGTGTGCAACGTAGTGAAGAACTACACTCTGTGGAAAGTGGGCGATTATGGATCTATCAGCGGGAGAGAGAAGATGATGGCAGAGATCTACGCTCGAGGACCAATCAGGTTTGCTATGTGCTTCTCTCAGCAGAACAATAGTTACATCAGGATGATTTTTATGCGTCTTTATCTCTCTTAGAAATCACGGAATCTGCGTCTGTCTGCATGAGGAACTCATATCGCTGTGATTTAGACACGTGATGCGTTCAAAATCAATAAACTTTAAGTAAACAGATGACCAGCGCTCTGTAGCCTCCCACATTCATACAGACAGAAACAATAGAACGATTTTCAGTTTGCTTTTGATTAGATAATTGTAACAGAGAAGTAAGAAGTTTGCATCAAGAAGCCTTTTTACAGCCATGCAGCTCCACAAAGGAGTGGAAAGAATAAAGGAATGAGTAGAATTCAGCTGAATGCCAAGTTTAGCCTGACATAGACATATCCAGACCTTACCATACTGTTTTCAGTCATTGTTTCACCTTCACCCAGAGTGAGGATGTGACCTGTGGTGTTTTATGTTCTCCAGCTGTGGGATTATGGCCACAGAGAAGCTGGACGCATACACAGGAGGTCTCTACTCTGAATACAAGGAGTTTCCTGGCATCAACCACATCGTGTCGGTGGCAGGATGGGGAGTGGAGAACGACGTTGAATATTGGGTTGTGCGCAACTCCTGGGGAGAGCCGTGGGTAAGTGGTCATCAAACAGAGGATTTCATGCAGTGAAAGAAGGAGTGGTTGTCAGATCGATGGTGGAAATAAAAGACTGTTTTTCTGAAAGTGGACTTTCAGCAGATCTATGTCTGCAGGATTTTCTAGTTCTTTTCATTGTTTTCAAAATGTGTCACTTGAAAGCCCCTGAAAACCTGATACAGATTTTATTTTCCCTAATGACTAACACTGCTGGACTAGATTTGACCAACAGCGATGGTTTCCTGGCAACATTAGCAAATAGCCTCTGCCATAAGTTTTCTAGTTTTGGTTTTACTATTTGAAACCAGTGACCAGAAGAAAAGTCACAGACAGAAATCTCTCCAGAAACAATCTGAACTGTTGCAACTTTAAGAAAATGAAACTGTCAGTGAAGGTGAATATTGGGTTTTACCAAGTTGTTCATTTTCGTTCTGAATGCTGTGGAGTCCAGTGTCATACTCAAGTAATTTAACAACAAAAGTCAAACATTTTCGAGAACAATTTGATGAGAAAGAAGTCATATGACGTGAATAAGAATAGTGTTAAAAGTTACGTAAAATGCCCATCACACTTTTTTAAAGACCCAGGTGACATGTTCAGTTCCCTGTTGCACGTTTGACGACAGTTTATCAATCATCGGAATGATTATCTAATTAATTTGTCTTCAGGGGGAGAAGGGCTGGCTCAGGATCGTGACCAGTGCCTACAAGGGAGGAAGTGGCAGCACCTACAACCTGGCGTTGGAGGAAGACTGCATGTACGGGGACCCAATTGTACCGAAAGGCACCCTCTAGAGGAGATCGGCGGCCACAGTGTTATCGGAAGTCTCACCGCACACGCTCATAATGTCTTCCTGTCTCAGGCAGGGGAAGGAGGATTTTTTATGTAAAAGCTTGACAAGGGAAATTCACAGATTTTTAAAGAGATCTTATCTGCAGCTGAATATTAGAGCTCAACGCTGATTCATTTTTTTTATCACAGTGACGTGCAGACTTTTTAACAGTCTGAAACTTTTAAACCGAGGGGGAGGTGCAACTAATCTCTGCGCTTTAGAAACATTCAGCCACTGCAGATATGTTTAATTGCTGTTAGAGGATGAATAAATTCAGTTTACAATATTTAAAATCATATACACAAAGCAGGTTTTTCAATTTTTGCTTTCAAATGCAAAGTGACTCAGCCAAAGTACACGGGTGTTTCCCAGCACAGCTCTGACACTGAATGTTTCCAGTGCCTGATGTTACTGTATCGTCAAGATTGTATTACAAGCTGACACAGGAGTGCACAAAAATCATTTCAACATGTGCCTTACATGCAGTCAGTGTAGAGATCAAAATGATGTAATTTTCTGTTTGCTTGCCTGCTGAACAATCTACACATCACATGTACAAAACAAATCTATGCCAATAAACACAACATTTTAAAATAATGCTCCACTTTGTTATTGGTCCATTAGTCATAGGCTATATGCCCAGCTACAGGTTTTTAAAAATGGCTTAAATAAAATAGTTGAATTCAACAAATTGGGTATTTTTAGCGCCGCAACCCCCACCCCAGAGAATCCTGAACTTTCATTGAGTACCAGAGGATTTTTTAGGGTAAAAAGAATACACTTTGTTCAGACCCTGGTCCCTCTGGTGGAAACACAAGGAGTTCCAGCAAAGGTTCCTAGTTCCAGGGGAAAGTTCATCTTTTGAGTATTAGGTACTCTCCATCTGCAGTGTTGAAATGTGATTTTAAAAAGCAGTTTCCTCCTTCTCTATCATAATGTGATTAAACAGGAACTTCGCAGGCTACTCCTGCTGCATAACCTGTTTATCTACAGTGTACACATACACTTGTAGAAAGTACATAAGCATGTACCAGGCACAGAGTTATTTCTTGTTTCTAATAACAAAGGTTAGAAAAGTTCTTTGGAGAAAACACATCTGATGCTGATCAGACTTTGGAGTCTCAGTCAATATCCACCGATGTCAGATGAGGTGGATTTTATTCAGAACTGTATCTGCACTTGAGGAAATATGAAACAAGTGACCTCATCTCACCCTGGAATGTGTGAAGTCAGATTCCATCAAGTGGAATTCAATGAATGGCTTTTTATTAGTTTTAAACAGTGACAAGGATTTGTCGATCACATCTGACTGCAAGACGGCTCAAATATAAGTGTTTCCCATTAATAATTAGACTGATGGCCGATAACATTCTAATGTTCTGCCAGGTTCACACTGAACCAAAAATAAATGTACACTTCTCATAATGACGAGAGAGATCTCTAAGTGTTTTGCTCTGTTGATCCCTTCTCTCTCACGCCCTTGCTCTCCATGAAGGTTTTACCGTTACTGCAGATAGTCAGGCCTAAGTTTCAGCTGCAGTTGTGTGTTGTCCTGTGAATGGTGTTCAATGCAATGCTCTCATACATGAGACTTCTCTCTTTCACTCTTTAGTCTGCGCCCGTCACCCGTGAACTGTGTGGGTGTGCCACCACAGACTGAATCAATTCTGTGAGAAACGCTGCCTTTATATATTAACTTTCTTAAGGAAAATCATACAAATTTGGCCTTTTAGGATCATGATTGCATTAAAAAAAGGATTTAAAAATACACATTCAGGTTTTTATTTTAAAACAGCTTGAATCAACATAAAATGAAGAAAATACAACAGTGAAAAAGAAAAAAAAGCTGCATCTTCAGAGAGCCTCTTCTGTCGTTGACCACATTTCCACCAACTCCGTGACATTTTGGTTTTTGTCGTCCCAGAAGAAAACGATCCTCATTCACTTGGTCAAACTGAAAAGTCTCGTCTCCAAGTGATTTGCTCTAGCATCAAGCTGAGCATTTGGTTCTTGTTGAGATCACAGAACGTCTCCAGCTACTATGTTCTCAGTGTCCTTTTCCACATCAGTTAATCATGATGAAGTTGGATTTGCAATGAGCTGGAAAACAGAACAAATGTTAGTTCTACACGAGGACGAAGAGAGGAAGTGTCCAAATTTAAACATGAGACATGTTTTTGCATCTTCTTGTTTCACAGCCCAAAGTATGACTTCCTATTTATGTTTGTACAACTTGTTCTAATTAACAGTAGTTGGGCATGGAATAACTGAATTACTCCTGTAAATGTGATTCTCTCTGAATAAGGAGGACTAAAACTATTATAACATCACTCACCAATAAATTCTGCAACAGGGTCGTGTTCTCCCTCCGTGCGGATCGTCCCTGCGATGCTGTCGTTCTCCAGGATGGGCAGGAAGAGCTGAACGAAATCTGATGTGTAGGGAGGTGCAATCACATCCAGCACCTTTTAAAGAGAGGAAGTTAAAACTTGACGTAAGATAGAAGACAGTACTTTGACACTCAAGTTATATTTTCTGATAGGTGTTCATGTAGGATGTATTTGTAAACACAGCAGTAAAAGAAGCAAATTTGTCAACTCTTGCATAAAACTCACAATTGTATCTCATAGTTTATCTTTATAAGTATAAAATACATGCTGTGCACAAGTTAGCCATTCTCCCAGTGGCAGTCTCAGTTACTCGATTACTTTGCTGTAGTGAGCAATAAACCAAATGTCATGGATTATGACTCTTTACAGGCACTTCCTTTAACAAAAATAAAATACAATCGTCTGTTCCATATCAAAACTATTAAAATATGATGGGACAGAAATAAACAGAGATTCAAAATGTTAATCGTGATTCAATATATTAAAATCTATTCAAGCCCATTTTAGGGCCTCATGTATAATTCATAGTTAATCTCTGTCAGGATCTGCAGGCTCAGTAACTTCTGTGATAGATTAAAAATATTGATACCAGACATCACTTCCTCTCCCACATTTTATCTGATAGAGGTTAGAAGCTGCTGTTACCTCTGTGACAAAGTATCTAATGAGGGAAATGTCCGTGTTGAGTTTCTCCAGACACTTTCGAATATAACCGACTACAGGCAGCACGTAGCCACGACTCAGCAGATGAACCATTCGGTCGAGCAGAGTCTTCTTCAGCTCCAGCTGAAGGGGAAGTGAAACCAACATGCTGTCAGTGGTACAGTCACAGTATACCTCTGGTGGGAAGTGAAACGTGAAGTAATCAAACACACACCTGCTCCATGACGTCCAGCTGAGAGTGCTCCGTCTCAAACAGTTTGATGAGCAGCTGGAGGACCTGTGGATGCAGCAGCTGATGACACGTACAGATCTGTGCAGAGGAAGAGTTCATGTTTAAGTTCACCTTGTTGTCTTTGAGGCTGAAAATCAAACTTTCATCTCACAGTGATCTCCCACCTCGTCCAGCAGAGCTAAATGCACTGGAGTGTGGTCAGTCTGGAGCTGAAAGTACCGCGGCTCAGACACCGTCCAGTCCACCCACTTTAAAACCCCCATGGCAACGACTGGAAACCTAAACACGCACACGCACACACACACACACACAAAGAGGGGTCAGGCAAGTCAAGGAAAACAATTTATCAAATTCAGTTGCTCATAAAATCTGTTGAATCATTTTTATGCCCCTTCTCTTTGCAGCTATTTGCACCAACTGAATGCATGGTACATTATTTCTTCTGTCGCTTAATTCCATCAACAAAAATTCTCATAATAGTAAATAAGTTATTTTCTTAAGCATGACTATATCAGTCGGTGTAGGCGGTGCAGAACTTGAGGTAAGGAAATGCTCCTCTCACCGAATGCACTGGTATAAAGTGCCGAGCTCAGCAACAAGCTCTGTGGCTCCTTTGTTCTCGTTGCAGCATAGGTTGTGCACAGTCTCTATGGCCTTAGACGTCGACTTGAGCTCATCTTTGTTGATGTTGACTCGCTTGTTCTGGGAATGAAAAGGTGTCACATGTCAGAGAGAGCTTCAGAAGCAGGTGTGAGAAATATAGTATTGATCCAAAGCAGTTGTCACAAGCTTATAAAACCTTGCTTGGAATTCATTTCAAGTACAACACAACTACTGCAAACCAGTCTGCATGTATGTAACTTTCTTTGCATCATTATATGTCTGTACCTTTTTCCACGTCTCTACCACACTAGCAGCGTAGGCCAGGATGTGGATGTATTTGTGTTTATGGTCTTGGTTGATCTTCGACCCGGGCTTAAACAGTGACTGCATGAACAGGTCCAGAAAGGCAGGCACTCTGATCTGAAGACCCGAAAGACAAATGTTTCAGTTGTCAGCACTTTTTCAAGTAGTCAGTTGACACAGAGTTCGAGACGCTCTTTCCTCACCAGCTCCACAGGAGGAGGGTCCATGCTGCTGAACATCTTGAACAGAACTGTGATGTCTGCAGGGTTCAGGGCTCCTTTAGACAACATGGCACCCAGCGCTTGACATGCTCGAGGGTAGGCTGCTGCTGTACCGAGCGCGAGGGTTATCTGACTCGCATCGTGACCTCTGAGAAAAGAATCATAACCAAAGAATTGATGTCAGCAGTTAAAGTTGGTATTTGTGTCCTGGGGCTTGTTGCAAAAGGGAGATTTACTGACGGATACAATACAGATAAGTTTACTTAACCTGGATCAGTCTCTAACTGCACTGATTGACACTCTGATCTTAAATGTATCCATTTGATTGAATCCATTCCATGAAAGTATAGAACAGACCACATCAAGAGAGAAGTGTACCTCTCGTGTGCTGACTTCTGCACCTCCTGGCCGATCCTACGAACGGCCGAACCGCCCTGTTCTTCCTGAGCCAGGATGGACATCATTGCCTGGGCGAAGAGGTAGGTGTGCTCGCCGTGACAAACCATCTTCTGCAGGAGAGAGGCAAACAACTCAGCAGAGATCACCGAACACCAAACAGCAAATCAAGCTCCTAAGATGAAGCCGAATTGTTTTCGATGTTCAGTGAAATAAAACTAACTTAAAACTGAATAATCAACTGTCAAATTCTTAAATACATTTCTGTTGAGACAAATCTATTGTGCTAATGATGATGTAACTGCTTCTTAAAGTGCTGTCCCAATCCGGTGTAGGGGAAGATTTCAACCACTCAGAATGCACTGCAACAGCTCGTATGCCAAGACCTGCAAGACCAGCTGCACATTCCCACTACTCTATTGCACATCAGATGTCAGTAGTCATCCGTGCTCATCACTTTTAATTAATTTAAACAAGCCTCCTACAATGGAACGTGAAAAATGAAGGGCGAAGGAAGGGAGAAGGGGTGAAATGGAATTGGGCCTAAGTATCAGCTGTGTGCGTGGGCCAGTTCAGACAGACACATGATATTTTATAGCGTGGGCCTTGAGATTGACATGTCTGCTCTAAAATATAATGTTATTACAAATTACAGATAATAAAGTTTTCATTTCATAGAATCATGGTTTACAGAGAGAAAGCTAAAAGAAGCCTCACAGCAAACTCCGGCAGATTCTTCTCCAGGTTTTCTTCTCCTCCATCCAGCAGCGTTGCCAAAGACGTCCTCAG